GACACGCTTTGTTGAGACCCATGTAGTCAACACACATTCTCCATTCCCCACTCTTTTTCGTACAAGAACGGGATTGGCTAACCACTCGGGGTGGTATACTTTCTTGATGAACCTGGCCGTCAAAAGCTTCGCAATCTCCTCGCCGATGGCCCTGTGTTTCTCCTCGTCGAAGCGACATAGGCGCTGCTTTACCAGCTTGGAGCCTGGCCTAATCTTCAAGGCGTGCTCGGTGACTTCTCTTGGAATGCCTGGCATGTTCGAGGGTCTCCACGCAAAGATATCTCTGTTGGCGTGGAGGAAGTCGGCGAGCGCGCTTTTTCTATTTGGAGGAAAGCGTGGTGCCGATGCGCACCACTTTGCCCTCTGAGCCACTGGCGTCTATGAGGATCTCCTTGGCGCCCTCTACAGGCTCGAAAGACTCAGCCAACCGCTTGGGGTCGGGCGCTTCTTCGATGACCTCCTCCTTGATGGCCGCAAGCTCTTTTGAGGCGACAGTTGCCGTGGCGTGTTCGCAACACTCGACCTCGCACTCGTAGGCGCGCTGGAAGGAGGTGCCGATGGTGATGACCCTGCATGGACCTGACATCTTCAACTTCAGATAGGTGTAGTTGGGGACGGCCATGAACTTCGCGTAGCATGGACGTCCCAAGATGGCATGGTAGGTCCCATGGAACCCGACAACCTCGAAGGTAAGGGTCTCCATCCTATAATTGATCGGATCCCCGAAGATGATGGGTAGATCGATCTACCCAAGTGGCACGGCCTGCTTTCAAGGCATGATGCCGTGGAAAGGCGCTCCGGTCGGCCGGATGCATGATCGGTCGATGCCCATGGCATCGAGCGTTTCAGCGTACATGATGTTGAGGCCGATGCCTCCATCCATCAGCACCTTGGTGAGTCACTTCGTGCCATGATCGGGTCGACCACGTTCGGATATCTTCCTGGCTGCGGGACGCTTTCTGGGTGGTCGGTCTGATCAAAGGTTATGGCAGACTCCGACCATTAAAGGAAGAAAGGCTCGACTAGCTTGACCGAATAGACCTTGTGGCATGCAAGCTTCTGGCGGTGCTTGGAGTCATAGGCCACCGACCCTCCGAAGATCATGAGGTAGCCATCCAGCATCGGAAATCCACCGTCCTTCCCCTCGGCGTCGTTTGCGGCTGGCTTGGTCTCCTTCCTATGCTCCCCCTTGTTGGAGCCTCCGAACAAGAACTGCTTCATAAGGACGCAGTCCTTGTATAGGTGCTTGATGGAGAAAGCATGGTTCGGACATGACCCTTCGAGTAGCTTCTCGAAGTGGTCCGGGGTACCCTCGGCGGGCTTCCGACCCCCTTGCGGTCGGCAGTGGCCACGAGCGAGCCCTCATGCCGCTGCTTGTTCTTCTTCTTGTTGGGGCGGTTGGAGGCGCCTTCGCCGGTGTCCTCGTCCTGCTTTGCCTTGCCCTTGGGGCGGTCGAAAATCACCCCGACCACCTCCTCGCTCGAGGCATGGCTGGTGGCGATGTCGAGGAGCTCCTTGGTGGTTCGCGGGCCCTTACGTCCTAGCTTGTGAACCAGGGACTCATAGGAGGTCCCAGACAGGAAAGCTCCTATGACATCAGCGTCGGTGACATCAGGTAGCTCGTTGCACTGCCGATAGAAGCATCGGATGTACCCACAAAGAGTTTTCTCGGTCTTCTATCGACAGTTTTTGAGATCCCATGGGTTTTTAGGACGCGTGTATGTGCCCTGGAAGTTTCCCATGAAGATCTCTTTTAGGTCCACCCAACTTTGGATTCGGTTGGGCGGAAGGTGTTCCAACCACGTTCACGCCGAATCGGCCAGGAACAATGGAAGGTTGCGGATAATGAAATTGTCACTATCCGCTCCACAGGCTTGGCAAGCAAACCCATAATCCTCTAGCCACAGTCCGGAGTTTGTTTCCCCAGAGTATTTTGGGATGTTGGTCGGCGGTCGGTACCACGGTGGGAAGACGACATTGAGGATGTGTCGGCCAAAGGCCTAAGGTCTCGGTAAGTCGGGGCTCAGCCTTCGATCCTCGCCGTTGTCATAGCGTCCGCCACAACGAGGGTGGTAGCTGTGGCTAGCCTCCTCCCTCTCATCGACGCGGTCATGCCTGTGGGCATCTAGGGCGTTGCGCGCATCACGATGGAGGCCGACACGCTCATGCACTGGGGCCACGGCACATGGCCTGCCACCTCATTGCGCCTGGTGGACTGACATGTCCCTGTCGGGTCGCTCTGAGGGCGCGCGCTGGCTGGCGTCGAGCTTGCATCGTTGGGACAACGAGCTCTCGACCTGCTGCACCGCCGCACGCTCGAGTAGCATGCGAATCTCACGATGGGCCTAATGATCCTCAGGTGTCGTGGGCCCTAGAAGCCCTAGAGCAAGGCCGCCGTGGCAACGACGTTCTGGCTTGCCCAGGTGAAGTGTGGGAGGGCTTCTTCGTCCTCGATGATCCTCTGGTTCACGTCACGGGCCACGGCGTGCGCACGCTCACCGTCTCCATGGCGCTCGATCTCTCGCTCGAGCTCCGCGTGTTTCTGCTCGAGCTAGAGTCGTGCTTCTTCGAGCTTTTGGTGCGCGCCCTCAGTTGCTCTACCCACAGGCGAGGTGGGGCCCCTGTATCCCCCTTGACCTTGTTGTCAAGGTCATCTGTTGGGGTAGCCCTCCCTCGTGGATGCTTTCGATGTATCCCTCGGGGTACCTGCCATGAAACATTCTCGTAAGGGGTGATGGCTCGCCCTGCAGGAGTCAGAGTCGGAGGCCGATTCCAATTCTCCTATGAGAAGGTCGTGAAAAGATTCCGCGACATATTCGGTCATCCCCATGAACTCGTCGTTCGTAGGGGATGGGGGCATGCGCTGCGCCACAAGGTGGCCAACGGTCTCTACGGCGTCGCGCAGACCGAACGGGAGCGCTATCGGGGCGCTCCGGATGAGGTATTCTGGGGAGAGCGACTCTCCTCCGGCAAGCTACGTCATGACCTTGGCGAACGAGAAGGTGAGACGGTACAGGTCCTCCCAGGACGGTCGGGGTCCTAGGAAGGCACCGAGCTGGCGCTCTAGCCTCCCATAATCGGAGCCGAGGAGCTGGTCGCTCCTGGGGGCGTGGGGCTCTGATGCGTGCAGCTGCAGCTCCTCAAGCGCCTCAGCGATCGTGTCGAGGCCGACAGAGTGGAGAGGTTGGACGACAGCGGGAACCTGCGCCAACTCTCCCTCCGTCGTAATGATGAAGTCTAGGTTTCCGAAGCGCACGTGCATGCCCAGGACCCAGCTGACGCCGTGACTAGCCATCCGAGGCTTGATGTGGACATCGAGAAACGCAAAAAGTCCCTACCTGGCGCGCCAACTGTCAGTGTTTTCAGACCACTGACGAGTAAATTTGTATTTGCGTGTCTGGCTTGGATGGTGTGCTCGGAGGACACAAGGGTTTATACTAGTTCAGGCGAAACGTCCCTACGTCCAGTTCGCTGCTGCTCGTGTTACCGGCAGTTGGTTTGCAGTAGGGGTTACAAACAGACGAGAGAGGGAAAGGCTCCCAAGTCTCTGGTGGAAGGAGTGAACGGGTGCTGAGAGCTCGATTGCTACTCAGCCGTGTGCTCGTGTCGTGCTCTTGTGTCAAGATCTCTCCCTTTTCATGGGGTGCCCTGCTTCCCCTTTTATATGCAAAGGGAAAGCGTGGGTTACAGAGGAGGAAAAGGAGAAGAACGTGAGAGAGAATAAGGCTTCCAGGGTTGCCGGGGCCTTCTTCTCCTTCATGCGGGTCTCGCCGATCCCGTAGATGTCAACAGGGACGGCTCCATGTCGCGGCCCTGTTCATCACTGGCGCCATGCGCAGGCGTCATCTGCCGGTCATGGCGTTCCACTCTATCCCGGTGGACACCGTGGTGAACGAACGCGCTTGTCAGCGTCCGTACGAGGATTAGGCAGAACAGCACCGGCACGCCCAACACTGTTCTTGATGTGAATCCCAGGTATGGCCCGTCATGGTCATGGGTTACATCAAGGCGTGCCAGCCTCTTCCCTGGCGTCAAAGTTTTGACCCAAGCACATACGCTTAGACCTGGAGTGGTTGGCGGCGGTATGGGTCCCTGTCGGACGAGGCGGAACCCGTATCCTCGAGGTCGGGCGAGATGGAGCCCGCAACCTTGGTTGAGACGAAAACCGCGTCCTTAGGGTTAGGCGAGACGGAGCCCGCACTCAAGGTGTCAGACGAGACGGAGCCCACGGCCTCGAGGTCAGGCTAGACGGAGCCCGCGGCCTCGAGGTCGGGCGAGACGGAGCCCGTGGCCTTGGGTGAGACAGAACCCGCGTCCTTGGGGTCGGGCGAGACGGAGCCCGCACCCAAGGGGTCGGGCGACACGGAGCCCGCGGCCTTGGGTGAGACAGAACCCGCATCCTTGGGGTCGGGCGAGACGGAGCCCGCACCCAAGGGGTCGGGCGAGACAGAGCCCGCGGCCTTAGGGTCGGGGCCTTGGGGTCAGGCGAGACATTTTAATACGTCTCGAGCCATCCGGAAAAAACAACGTGAACGCTAACTTCCTTGCTTTGGGTATCCCTAATATCCCAACACCGTGTGTCGCCCGCACGTAGAGTCGAAGAGAGAGGAGGGGGTCATGGGGAGGACCGGCAGGCACAGAGACAGAGGCGGAGCGCACTCGTGGGAGAGGCGAAGACGGACTGAGGCAGGCTACACGGGCGTCTGGACGCGCGCCTCCGTTCGGACGCTAGCCACGCCCTTTGAAGAACTGTTCTCGACAAGAGGAGAGAGTCCATCGTGCCTAACAGCAAGTTGCATGTGTCATGTGTGTGCGACGCGAGATCGATGTTCGATGTGGAATTGAGGATGCGAGTATGTGATGTTTGACAGGAGCGAAAGTAAGGATGCTCAAGATCATTCCCGACGAAGAAATATTCTCGAGAGCCCGTCTACGGCCATTGCTATTGCTTAGTGGATCAGTCAATCTCCTTTTGTATACGACAACGTGGTTGATCATTATTATACATCGTCAGTGTGTGAAGTGAGCATCGCCAGCTGCAGCCTCTCTTCCTCCTCCTCGTCGGCCACACCCGCCGGCGAGCTCGAGCTCACCAGGAGCTCGCGCGGCACCAGCACGTCGGTCTGGTCCGCTGTGGGCACGAGGCCGATGACCCCCAGCGTGGCGAGCCTGAGCACGTTCCTGAGCAGCACGGCGAGCCAGAGGCGGCCGAAGTCGGTCCTGGTCACGCGCAGCGCGCGCAGCACCGCCGCGCCGCCGGCCTTGGCCGCCAGCGTGCCGAGGCTGTCGATGCACATGAGCAGCGCGAAGAAGGTGCCCTCCATGCCCGGCGGGCACAGCTTGGTGCTCAGCACCATCATCGGCATCAGCCGGACGCGGCCCACCACGCGGGACACGCACTCCTCCAGGGTCACGAACGCCGCGTCGGGGACGCCCAGCGCCAGGTTCCACCGGAGCACGAAGGTGAGGTCCAGCAGCCCCGACACGCCGTACAGCAGCTGCGCGTAGAAGAGGATGCTCCGGAACGGGTAGTCCTCGAGGCACTTGTGGTAGACGAGTACGCCCAGCATGGACGCCACCGCGCCGATGGCGTGGACCAGCCCCACGAATTCCTGCATCCATGGAGGAGGTGGGGGTGCAACAATGATTTTCATGCATCTGTTGTATTAATTCTCATGAGAGTGATGCCCTAATAATGTTCTGTTTGGCATTTGCGGACCTTTTTTTCTTCTTCAAGAGCACTTGATTTTGCAATTATTTGTTTGTTTGTTCGACAGGAAACTCTTTTCTATTGAAGAATCATGACAGAGTAGTCATACTGAATTGGTGGTACAGACTCATATCTTACTGTCTATACTGGGTTACACTTTACTGCACAGAACATTTCTACAGAACAACCCAGACTTGATTATAACTTATAACATTCCAGGCTAAAATAAGAAGAAAGAAATAAAAAAAAAAACATAGGATAATTAGTTTACCAGTTCATCATAGGCATCTGTTAGGGACATTGAGGACAGCATTATTGAGCAAGTAATATTGGTGGGACCACATGAGGGCAGCTTTTTTATCTGGGTTTCTTTCAGTTAGATCTTGCTTTTGCTAGTTTCAGTTTACTTGAGTGATTGGTGTTGTACCTAGGGCCTGTTTGGATAGTCCCACCTAAACTTTAGTCACCTAAACTTTAGGTCCACGTATCCAAATTCCAAACATGTGAACTAAAAGTGAACTAAACTTTAATTCCTACTACAACTAACCATTAGTCCATTAGTTGACAAATGTAGTCTAAAGTGGACTAAAAGGTAGCCATGAGTCTACTTTTAGTCCATGTATCCAAACACACTAGACTAAAAATGGTATATACTAAACTTTAGTACAACTAAATTTTAGTCCACCTAAACTTTAGTTTTAGGTGATCCAAACAGGGCCCTAGACTTCTTATTTTCTTCCTAGGTTTTTGTACTTTCCTCCCAATCTCTCGTGCACTTTTGGCGTTATAAGGATAAAGATAAACCATTGCCTTCTGAGATTAAAAGGTGGGAAGCAAGGAATTAGATGAAAAGTGAAGATCATCATGTGTCGTGTCGACCACATACACCACTAAGTTTAAGTTCACTGGCACTATTCTACTTACAGTTCTCAGTTCAATACACCCCTTCCTGCCTCACCTGTATCACTACAGTAATTACATCATCAACCTAACCATTTGTGAGGATCCGGCATGTCAACAGTTGAGTAGTTAAAGAAACAATGGGCTGCTGGCGGTACAAAACAACAAATATGACTTCTCTACACAGAGTATGTTCACTAATATGAATTGCCGATTCAAAGTGAGCCTAACTCAACTAGTTGGATGGTACTTGTAGTCATGCATCTAACCACCTAGGTCCGCTTTCATCTTCAACTCGAATTTGGATACGTATTTTCTTCTTAATTAATGAAAAAACATCTAGTTCCTCATAGGTTGGTCTCATTTTATTTTCTAACTGCAGACCCATTTTTCTGAACAGACTGCATCTTTGGGTCATCCATGCCACGGACTTCAGATCGTGCAGGACAAGGCCATTATGCTGCAGATCAAGATTAACATTGTTCTGTTCTCGAAAAGAAAGATTACTCTTGCTCTGTTCAACAGATCTACTGATTAGCAATCACATCAAGCAGGCAAGGAAACGAACTTTTACCTGTGAAAATCCAGGATTAGGTGGTGTCTTGTTAGTATACCAGTAGAATTGCCCCTCGTGGGTGCTGATACTCAGAGCCAGCGAAAGGAACATGTAAAGAGATGGCTTCCACACTACTGGATACCTTATAGTCCGAACCATTCCTTTCACTGCCCCACTAACCTTGTTCAAAACCTGCATTTCATTAGCATATCAGTGAGAAATCAAGTTATTCTGTATTCTTCATGTTTCTTTCATCACTACGACATTGTGTACATGGATTCTTGTCCCCACTCACCCATCCACACACATATGCATCGCCACTCTCTTCAGTTAACTCGCTAGGTTCACTTCTGGTTCAACAGAGAAATCATTAATTTATTTAACGATTTACCTGAAGAATTTCAATTGCTGAAGCATCAAAGTTATTTTATTCTAAAACTTTGCTAGGATAGTATTCTGGAAGAATAATGTAGAATAACACAATTCAGCTTGGACAAACAAAACCGCATGAGATGGTGCCAGATAGAACATCATGTTGATAAAATGAAGTAGTAATATGATCATAACTAAATGGTGAAAGATCGCTGATCAACATACCTTCTCTTTAACATTATGTTGACGTGCTTTCAGCTCATATATGAAAAATCCAAGGAAAACCACTGTGGCAGGAGGTATAGCCATAACACCTAACGCACCCTACATTAAGCCAAAAGTCATTCAACATATAATTTCTCACTGAACCAAAAGACATGATGAAACTTAGCAAAATAAAGCATTTGGACAGAAATTGACCTGTGCTCCAAGATGATGGACAAACATGCCACTTGTAGCATACCCAACAAGTGCACCTAGAGATGATGAGAATGCACAAAGGCTCTGCATGTCTGGAGCCAGCGCCGGCTTATAAATACTATTCTTTGCAATGCAAGCATCTATTGTTACATCAGCAATGGCGACTGCTGTTGAGATTCCCACCAAGCAAAGTACAGCAGAACTCACTGGCAATCCAATAGTTATTGCAACGATAGCAGTTGAAACCGTTCCAAGTATTCCTACCATCTTTTTTTTTTGAAACAATGGCAGGAGCTCTGCCTTTCAATTAAGACGAATGAAGTTTATATACAAGCAAAGGTAACCAAGCGTGGTGCCAAACACCGCGAAAGGTTAGCCCACCCACGCAACGCGGTAGGGTACACACTACCATGAGTCATCGTTGCCGAGCGTGGTTGCAAAGCAGCTAGCAGCAACGGCTTTCCATGGCAAAACACCGACGCCCATCCTAAAATGTCAGACCAACGGGCCCGAAGCAGGAGGCTGCGACAGGTCATCGTTGCCGAGCTCAACGGCTCCCCGAAGAGCAGCTCCGACTTCCTGCCTTGATCCCACGCCCCGCCCGCGGCGATTGCCGAGCCTCTAAAGCTGAACCTCAGCCGTCGGAGAAGGAGGGTTCGACCCGCGTCATCGTTGCCGAGCTACATCCCCTGATGCAGCAGCTCCGACTTCCCGATGCAGAACTCGCCGTCTCGCGTCAACCAGGCGCCGAAGAGGCAGAGGACATCCGCCGAAGGAGACATCACGGCCGAGACGAATTTCCACAGCGACGCCTTCAAGAAGGGTATGACGCAGATAGCGCCGCCGTCGCTTGTCCAGGAATGGACCAGGTTTCCACCCGTGGAAGACATGGCTGGGGGCACAGAACACGTCGCCCCAACAAGGAAAACGGCGCCCACAGGCGTCGCCGTCGCCAAGGCTTTCGCCCGAGGTGCCCCTAGCACAAACGTCGAGCCAAGATGCTGTACCGTAGCCTGTCGCCACCGTCGTCGTCACCGCCATCCCGCAGAAGCCCCCCCAAAGGGGCATCGACGCGTCGGCTGCACACAGCAGCCACACAGCTGCGTCAGCCGCCACCCCCTCCGACCGGGCAACATGCAGAGGTGGACTTACCCTGCCACGCGCGTCACCCTGCCGCACGCCGAAGCCATCGCTAGCTGTCGTCGCCGACACAAGCACCCGCCGTCGACGCTGCCGACCTCCGCCAGCCACCTCGGGCGCCGCCCCTGCCCTGGGGGCACCGGATCTGGCCATCAGGGCGCCAGACCCAGTGACCCCGGCTGGCGCCGCCGCCTCCACGCCAAGGCCGAGGAGGAAAGGGGGAAGCGGAGGAGGAAGAAAGGGCCCCCGCCACCGCCCGGCGCCTGCACGGGCACTGGCCAGCGCCGCAGCCGCAGCAGGCGGCCCCGCCGAGCCCCACGCGGCTCGCGCGAGGGCACGCCCCGCCACCCCGCTACTGCACACGCTGCCACCAAGCGTGAGGAAGAGGAAGAGACCCGGCCCTGGGCAACGCAGCCGCCACCACGGGCGCCGAACCCGCGGATCCGCGGCCTTGGACAGGAGCCGCCGCCACCGCCGCCCAGCGCCCGCCCAGGCACGGCACGCCGGAGATCCGCGCGAATCCGGCCGTCGGACCGCCGGATCCGGACGCCGAAGCAAGGAGGCTGCCTCAGACAGCCGCTAGAGACGCCGACGCCACCACCTGCCCCAGCGACCACGCCGAGCCCCAGGACGCGAGCTCGTCCCCGATCGTCGCAGCTTCCACCACGAAGAAGAGCCTCGCCGCCGCCCTCACGGCAAGCTGCACGGCCATGCCGGCGGCCTGCTCCGGCGACGGTGCGGCTGGGGAGAGGGAGGGAAGGAAGAGAGGCGGCTAGGGTTTGGGTCACCTCCCGTGTTGCCTGCGTGGGGGCGACGCGGGGGCCGAAACGGGGCTTTGTTCTTTTAAAATATGTATCGTAAGTATTCCTACCATCATGCAAAGTAAACAAGGATTTATCAGTGATGCCTACAGTTGCTACGTGCCAGTAGGGAACCTGCCGTTTCCCATAAGAAATGTCTACAGTTGCTACAACTATTGATCTCTCTGACAAATCATAACTCCTACAGTCCATGTATTTGGTTAAAATAAACCAAATCTGCAGTTATAAACCTGTAATCTACTAAATATCTTTGGAGCCATAATAAAGCAACAGTATTAACAATCATCTTTGCATTTGTCTCCTATTTTCACAGTACAATCATGCTACTCGAAGAAAATGTAAAAATAGCTAACTCTAATGAATTCATTATGGCATCGTATGTTACAGTCACATCATTCTGAAAATTGGTATCTGAAAATAAAACCTTAATGGAGATGCTGGTGGCGGGGGGCCGGGGATTCCCTCGCAAAAGGGGGGGTGGGGGGGGATTCAAAAGGCAAGAGTTTAGGCGTTTACCTAAGATGTTCCTGTTGAGTATACTCCAATTAATTGCAGAATAATAACAACTTACCACCCAAATAAATTAAATGAGATAAAAATTACACAGATGAATACTCACACAGGGCTTTTCAAAATTGTAGGCATGGAAAGAAGAGTCTACCACACACAACTAGATAAGACTTAGATTGGAAAACATGAAAATGGTAAACAAGCTGAAAGTGACATGTACTAAATAATCTTACCCCAAAAGGAGGCAAACACTACCTCACTCATATTTTTTCACCGACTAATGAAGATCAGAATCCAATAAACAATGCACACACTGCCAAGGATTCAAACCTACTCCACAATGGTATGTCACAGTCGAAGCACTCACATCCACATTTACAAAATCCCTTTAAGACTCACAAAGACCACAGCCAGCAATGGTTAAGCTGAATTAGAGCCATGTTTTTCAGCTACCACCACAGCAATGGTCAAGCCATTATTTATCAAGAGCATAAACAATTGTAACCAATTAACATATCCAAATCCAAAAGGGCCCTAACAGTAAGCATTGGTAAATCCTTGTGGGGAAAATGAAATCTGTTTATACGCAGGCATATAACTGAAATTAACACCTACGGAGTACTACATAACGACGGCAACAGATAAAAAAGATGGCTTTGAAGATGATTCGTTTGAAAAAAAAATGCCTTGAGGATTGATTCCCGGCCGGCCGGCTGACCTGAGAAGAGGAAGTACGGGCGGCGGCGGTACCCGCAGACGGGAAAGACGTCGGTCATGATCCCCCAGAGCGGCTTGAGCACCCATGGAATGTAGAAGAAGACGGAGAGGAACTGCACAGTGGCCGGTTGCACCCGCTGCACGTCCTTCCAGTACTAGCCCGACGCCACTCGGAAGAAGGAGCCGGCGAAGCCCTGGCTGAGGCCGTACACCAGCACCACCCCAGCCACGAACGTCGCGCCCAGCTCCCGGCACAGCATCCGCATCCACCGCACCGGCTCCAGCACGGACGCCGCCCAGTCGCGCTCACCGCCGCTTGGCCGCGCCCCCGACCTCGGGTCCTGGCCGACGAGGCTATCCGCGTCCACGGCGGCGTCATCTTCCAGCATGGTTCTTGGATTCTTGACTGGTGCCTAAAGCTCCCTTCCCTTCTTGATGGTTTCTTGCTAGGCGAGTTCTCGAGCAATGCGCGTGCTCAGATGCAAATGGGGTTGGAAATGGATTTAAGAATTTGAAGCGAGCTTGACATCTGAGATTAGTTTATGGAGATCGCGGGGGATGGAGATGGAGTGGACTGGGGAAGACTTGAACTTGGGAAGGTGAGAGCTGACTGCTGACCAGCAGATCATGGGAAGGCGTTGACAAATTGGTGGAAACCAACTAATGTAGCGAGACCGACTTTTCGCCAATATTTTGACTCAGATTTCTTAGAGCAACTCTGAGTAAACGAGAATGCTTTCCTCTGGACGTTCGTCGGATGCTGCGCTTCACAGTCTGCGCCGTTCGCTCCCGCTCGTTGCGCGCCTCGCTCGCGACGCTCGCTCCCCTCCGCGCTCATGACGCTCGCTTCCGCCGGTGACGCCCAATCCCTCCCTCTGCGGCCTTTCTCCAGCGCAGAGGCGCCGCGCCGCGCGCACCGCACCCGCCCACACGTCGCGACCTTCTCCAGAGCGTGAGGGTCACTTGGCTACGTGCCGACAACCCTCCGTTCGTTTAAGCAGCAGTATGACATTGCGTTGAAATTGTACGTTGAAAGTATTTTAGTTGTCTCAGAGCTACGTTGTAAGTGTTTTTATATCGATGATGCAAAAGTAGATTGGGATGTTGCAATGGCTATACACGTATATTTTAAAGTGTATGTTTCAGACGTTTTATCTGTTTTAGACGTACGTTACAACTGTTTCATTTGAATATTGTAAAAGTAGATCTGGATGTTGCATATATATATGCAAGTGTTTCAGATGTTTTCATGCATATGTTTCAAGTATTTCATCTGGATGTTTATATATGTTTGTAATGGCTACAAACACGTTTCAAGTTTTTTTTTGTGTTTTGCAAGTGTACATATGTTGCAAGTGTCTGAGCCGTTTCCGATGTATGTTGCAAGTATTTTATCTAGATGTTGCAAAAATAGATCAGGTGTTGCACATGTTGTAATAGGACCCACCTGCCGCAGTCGCTTGTTGCAGTTGCTGGAGCGCCGTCATGAGTCACCGTGCGGGCACCTGAGGCCGAGAGACACATCCGCGGCACGGCATCCACAGACAGGGGTAGGTGATTGGGACCCATGTAGGTTCCTACTTGCGGGCGTGGTGGTCAGGCACACATCGAGCATGATGGTAGGGCGGTACACAGCGTGGGGTCCACATGGTGGGTCGCACAAAAACAGACTACGTGGACTTCTTTCGTGTGTGGCGCGGCCTCCAGCGCGAAGGACCGGAGGTGTCCGATATTTTGGAGCGGCACCGGACGCCCAGACGCTAGTAAGGCTCTTGAGTAAAAGCAATCCCCTTTTTCTATATTGAGAAAAAGAAGACTAAGCTAAGAAAAACTTACTCCAGCAGATCTCCTTCCAATCCTTTTTCTCTGGATTTTTTTTTCTCAATCCCTCGGAAAAATCCTCCCTCTCTCTCTCAAACAAACAGGATCTGCACTAGTTTTCCTCAATCCCCTTTCTCCTTCTTGTGTCACTGACGGCTTGGGTCCACGGGACTGTGGTGCGATCACCCTGCTCCAAGTGGGCGAGCGCCGCTGCACCGAGACACCATGCGCGCGAAAGATGTGTTGGGCTTCACAGAAAGGAAAGAGTGGACTCCAAATTATCTTAATTTAGGAAGTTTTCTTTTATTTCAAGTTTGTAATAGTCTTATTCAACTAGGACTTGTGTTTAGGCCTTGGGTATAAATAATACACTCCGGCTATTGTAAAGGACACCAATCAATTAATCACAAAACTCGTTCTATTACTTTTCGGCTTTCACGCCACCCCTTAGGAGTAGGAGTAAGTAGATATCAGCGAGTTCTTCAACAAATATGGCTGTATCGGTCGATCGATCTCCGGTTTATTTATGAGTACCGTCACGACTTGTATCTTTACTTGTTAGGTTGCATCAGTTGATTGACCTCTCGTAAATCTTGGTATAAGTTAGTTATCGATTTTTATCTTGTTTAGCAAGGCTGCCGTTGCTAGATTTCATATTAGTCAAAGTTATCCATCTTGTTAAACTTAGTTTTACTAGACTTAATAATATCATCAATTTATCCGATCTAGATTAAGATTCATTAGTCTTATCATATTGACCTATCATCTATCGTTATTTCACAGTTAAAAATTCTATCTTTGGCGATAGATCCTGTTTTGTCGACTAATTCATCTTAATCTTGATCAAGCGTGATCGAACGTGCAAAAGTCCTATCTTGCTATAAATAGATTTCATTGGTTAATAACGTCTAGTTTATCGGTCACTGTCTACGCTGCATCAAATTGACGTGTTAGATAGTGATTGTGAAGCTAGGCTTTATCAATCAATGAGTTTATTTATCCAAATAATATGACTTTGTCTGTTCATCATGTCTGCATCGGCTATTCAACCCATTGCCTGTGCCTACACACTTATAACATGTTTTCATGATTCTGTTGAACTATAGATAAATCTACTGGCTTGTTTGGCTTCTAGGTTATTGCCCTTGCCCTGCTGCCAACGCTGCATCAATTTGACATGATTGGTGGTGACAGTAGATTAGAATCTGGTTAGTTTGTAGATTTATTTGTATTAAACAGTTAATGGAAGGCATGTTATACATAAACTATACTGCATCGGCCAAATAGACGATTGCCCACGCTTTAATGTTTCATCCTGTTTTCTCTATATCGGCTGAATAGCCGATAGCCTGCCCTTTCACTTCATAATATGTTTACGAGAGCCTGTTTTAACATGACTCCATTTATAAATCAAATGGCTTTATTTTATTGTTCTTATCAACGTTGCATCATATTTGACCAGATTGATAATGATAATAAGCTAAATCTAAATGATTTATGAATCTGGTTTATGTTAAAATGGGTAATTGTTCTCATGTTATGTTCTTTTATTAAACATATCGGTTTGGTGTTTTAAATCAACTATAATTCAGTTTAGCCTATTATGCTTATTTCTTCTGCTTTAACTGTTGGATATCGACTCTTTAGTCGATAGCCTTATTTAATCGACTATTTAGCCACAAATTTAGAACTGTCTGGAGTAACATCGACATGTTCCGCCTTAAATTACTGATTTTTCTCTTCTTATCAGTTGCAGGGTCAAATTGACTGGCACACATCACGACATCGAAACCGACTTATCCTGCGTTTAAAGTTAAGCAGATCTTCCAGACTTGTCGTGTGTCCTGCATAGTGACCAAATTTCCGTGTCGATAGCCGCTTGAATTTTTAGTACCACACCTCGTAATTTCTTTTCGCAGAGTTCTAGCAGGGGATAAATTAATTAAATGGAAATATTTGGTCAAAGAAGCGGCATTTGTGCAACTCAATGATCCATCTTGTCTATATCTTTTATAAAGATAAATCCCACTAGCAATTTATCTTTCCATGCAAAGTGTCCCTATCAGCATCCACTAGAACATCCCACAAGCATATTCAACTATCTTACCATGCAAAGTATCCATATCAGCATCCACTAACACATGCCATTATGTCTTCATTCAAGCTATTCATATTAGCAAACCACATCATTTACTTGTCCACATCAGAAGGCTAAAACTCATCCACCAACATGTATTATGATATATTTATTCAATCATATTATTAAATATAAGTAGTATAATTTCACTAGCGATTCTCGCAGCAACGCGCGGGGCGTTCTTCTAGTTCTATTAAATAGACCCTCACTAGTTAGGGTATTCATTGTGCAATATATGGGCTCCCACCTCTATCTAGGGGGAAGCAGCCATTGGTAAGTCCCCTGTGGGGGGGGGGTGCCTCATGAGTGAGTGACCGACGACGCTATACCAGAAAGGCCCCCATGTATAAAATAGTAAGTCAAATAGCTATGCCTTTAACAAATCATAATGGAAGATCAAGTTACCTTTAAAAGTCAATATATTTGTTTGGTTCTTACTAGAAGGGGTTACTTTAACAAAAGACAATCTCGTAAAATGAAATTAGAGGGGTGATGAAAAATGTTATTTTGTGACAACAAAGAAACCATCCATCATTTGTTTTTTTAGTGTCATGTAGCACGATTTGTTTGGAGGATTGTTCATATAGCTTTTGGCTTACAACCACCAATAATTTGTTTTTCTTTTCCAAACATGGTTGCAACAAGTAGATCCAAAGTTGCAGTCTCAAATTTCAGTGGGAGCATGTGTAATCTTTTGGTCTATGTGGTTGACTAGAAATGATGTAGTCTTGGATAAAAAAAAGAAGTGTTACAATCGTAGTTCTAGGTTGTTTTTAGGATGATCCATTGGACACGGTTCTAGTCATTACTTCAGATGGAGGTCAATCATCCTAATGTGAGACAAGCGTGTCAAGTGATGGAGACTATGGCAATGCAAATTTTCAAAAAAAAGAGTGGTTGTCTTTTAATAGGTTTTGTGCTTAGTTTGCCATTAGTCTTAATTCGGCCTCTCTGCTTTTTGTGCTTTTTGAAAGTTTCTCTTCATCAACCGAATGCTGAAACTTTGTAAGAATGGATGATTGAGGGCAAAACTCTTCCATAAGCTGGAATAAAGAATTCTTTTTTGTTCCTAAAAATTCAAATTTTTGTTGGCTTCATATTTTCTAACCAGGAGGCGTCGCTTTAACTAGCAAATTGGGCTGTAATCCACTTGGCGACAGAAACTAAACTTCAGCACTAGTTGGGCTGCCCGAAGAAGATACCATTTTGTTTTGAGGCAAAATGGCCTACCTCGGTTGGATACGACGCGTCATTAAGCATTTCTATATGGGCTGAAGTGGGCTTCCAAGGCACATGTCCCCTAAGACGATTAAAACCGATAAGACGATAATAACTTGGTAACCCGTACACATCTTCGTCAATTTACTCCCTCCTAAAACAATTGGGTGTTCCAGATTTTATCCTAAATCAAACAAATTTAACTTTGACTAA